CAGATAATCAGGAAAGACTGTTGAGAAAAGAGAGTGACAGGAGAGAGACAACAAACCAAACCACACAAATCAAAACCTAAACAACCACCTGTACAAAAGAAAAATAAAGGAAAGCAAAAGGAAAAATCCTCTGACACCCCCAAGTCTGTGCTAGTTCCCTAGTCTGAGCCAGAATCTGTACTGAGTAACCCTGTCAAGTCTGCACTAGGTTTACTGCTGAGTGCAGGGTGATCTTGGACAGAACACTGACTCCTCTCACACAAGTTCATTGTAGAACAGGAGGATGTGCCCTTGTTCACTGCCGGCCAAGGCCATTGCCTACTGCACTTCTGGTTGCAGAGCAGGGGCCTACTTCCTGTTCTTTGTAGCTAGGGTTAAGGCTGGCTTTTGGTGGCTGCCAGAATTGAGTCTGGGTTGTCCCTACTCCTAGTTCTTAGTAGAGTTCCTCCTGTCTGCTGCCCAACTGCTGGCTGTCTATGATGACGGTACTGCTCTTCCCTCCTTTCACTCCAGGATGTTGGCAGTGAAGCAACCCTGGAATTTCTCTACTGCTGGAATTCAAGTCCTGAAATAGAACGGTGATCCCACCCACCTGCTGCTGCTCCTCCACGCAGCTTTGTGTCAGGTACCACGTTAGTTTACTCACCAACCACTGATTCTGGGGTGAGGCTGGGGCTCAGGAAATAGTGTCCTTGCTCTCACTGCTGCCTCCAACTATAAGAGTCTCCTGGTTAAGTCTGCCAGTGAGGAGTAAAGTTGCTTTTGCTATCTCTGCACCAGCCAAACACCACTGGTCTAGCCACACTGCATGGTCTCAGATCTAGGGAAGTGAGCTGTTTCTTCTGTACCAATGAATCTTACTCTCTTCCTTTCCCCTATCAGTTCCCTCTTGGTTTCCATGTCCCCTGCACTCCCTTTGAAGTCTCTTGGGGCTGGTGTTTTCCAGACTCTTGGCACTTTGTTCTCGAGAAGCTGAGTAGCTGACAGCACGCTGACATTTTGTTGTTGTTGTTGTTGTTGTTGTTGCTGTTATTTGGATTTTTTTTGTTTGTTTGTTTTGATGGTTTGTTTTTTCATTTCATGAGCATGAACATTATTTCTAGTTTCCTTCTTCTGTTTTGTTCTTGTTTTTGTTTTTTCCTTTTTTCTTTCCCTCCTGTCCTCTTCATCAACTTCCCGAGGCCTGGGTTATCTTCCTTTGTCCTTCAACTTTGTTTCTAATCACTTTCTCATCTTTCATTTTTCTATGTTTTTCTTTTTCTCCCTTTTGAAATTTCTCTCCTTAAGGTAAAATTGCTCTATCAAATGGATATTTACTGTACATAATTGTCTAATTTATTTTAGTTCCTTTAACATAACTATAAATCTTGTACCTGCAGTTAGCAACTTGCATTTGGCAAATCAATAGTTACCACAGTTTGTCATTTTCTAGTCTGTACTTGATACCATTGTTATTACTGATTTACTATTTTAGCCAAGGTGACATAGTTCTGATCAATTGCTCTTCCTTGTATGCCAGTGCCTAGATTGTCTGGGGGTCATATACAATACTATGGTCCAGTACAATACTCCGTGTGTAATGCTCCTGTGTCCTTCCTAACAGAGTCAATTTTAGCAAAAATACTTTAAAGACAGTTTAGAGAATATACCCCAAAACTGCCTCAGATATTTGATTACCTTCAATATCTGATCAAATTCCTCATCCTCATCATCTCTCAGATGATATCGGATCATTCTGGCATACTTTCAGCAAGAATTCTTCTAAGTCAGCTTATCAAGAATTCTCTTTTTCTCCATTCAGTAATTTTTCCATCCACTGACTGCCCCAATTTTTATTCCTTAGTCATAAACCTCCACTTGTCCTGGGTGTATCTGGAATTGAAGTAAGTTCTATTATGAGATCTTTCCACTGTTATTTCAGTAATTTCTAGATAAAAACTTTATGCTTTTATTTATTATCCCTGGTTTTCTGTAAGCCTCCTTTCCCACCTGTCTTAGTTACTTTTCTCAGTCCTGAGACAAGATACCTGATACCCAAAGTTAAATGGGGAAAGATTTATTTAGCTCACCATTTGTAGAGGTTTCAGTCCATAACTGGCTGGCTCTGAGATAGGATGGCTTCACAGAGGAGAGCAATACATGGTAGGCAGAAGACAGCAAAAGCAACAAGCCAGAGAGAGAGAGAAAGAAAGACACAAACCTCTTTCTGTTCCTTATATTGTATGCAGACTGCCCGCCCTAGAGCAGGTGTAGGACTTACAGCTTTTTTTTTTTTTTTTTTTGGTCTTTCTCCAGTACCGGGAACCGAACTCACGACCTTGCGCTTGCCAGGCAGGTGCTTTGCCGCTAAGCTAAATCCCCAGCCCCAGGACTTACAGCTTTAATCCAAGCATTGTACTACAAATCAATCACATACTCTAGATTCAGCTACCTCCAAAAATCCTATGACTGCAAGAAGGCACAAACCATAAGACCACCATAATGCCTTCAGGAGATTTCAATTCAGATATACTCTTACCTAAGAAACTAAATTGTAAAATTTGTCTCTACTAGTATATTTATGCATGGTAACAGGAAGGAAAAAAGGCAGAAAAGAAATAATCAATTTACATTTTATATGCAGAGGTATCACAGTTCCTGCTTCTATAATTTCTTACAAGGTTAAAATCAGTAATCATCATTTCCTATTCTTTCACTCATGTTTTTCCTGCCCTCTGCTAGAAGCTTGGTAATAAGGATTTTTTCTTTTTAACCTGGAATGGTGATGTGTTAAGGCTTGTATTTAGATGTCCTCCCAAAGCCTAATGTGCTCATAGACATGGCTTTTGGGAGGTGGCTGGATTATGGGTATGTGATGCTATATTAGCATATGTGATACTGGGATTAAGTGTGTGTGGTAACTAAGCTGGTTTACAACAGATCTGGGTATGGATAATGCAAGCCCCCACTTGGGTGTGGGTGGCTTGTAGCTTGGATGAGATTAAAGGGAATTGGAGGCTTTCTGCTGCTGATTGCTGCTTGCTGCCTCCTGTCTGTTGTGTCATGGAGTGCTTCTCCTCTTCGATACCCTCTGCCATGTGGCCCTGCCTTGGAGCCAGGCAACTATTGACTGCAACCTCTACAAACTATGGGCCAAAATAATTTTTTTCTCTTTTATATTGTGGGTACTATGTCTCGGTGATGAGAAAATTAACTAAGACATGATGCAACACTAATTTCTGCATGATCTGAAATTTAAGTAGTCTAGATTTTGAGTTACTGCTGTTATCTAATAATCATTATTATTTCCCATAAGAGTATCAATAGGCACCCAGGAAATCCCTGGTTATCATGCAGTTTTCCTTGCCCTCAATGTGTGGATGCAACCCAATATCCTTTTGGTAATCCACATAAATCACCTTCATGTCATCACTATAAGAGCCAAAATGGCTGACGGCAATTTCATCTTCCAAGTCAGTAGAACTATGCTGGGTCCTCCATTGGAGCCATTTCTTCCTTTTGAACTAAGACTTCCACATATGGTAAACTCAAGGTCATGGAAATGTTGTACTGAATACTTTTCATTTTTCTCTCTAGACACTGTGCCTGTGAGACTGTCTTCTGCATCTACTCGGCTCCGTTGTCTTCTGCTTCCTGGTAACTCCAACAGTGAAAGACCTCAGTGGGATATCAGAGCATGGGAGGAACAGAGGTTGGTCTTTCTGCTTCACTGTCTTTGCTTTGGGCTGAGGTCCTAGCAGTGGCTATAACTAGAGAGTCTTTCCTAGCTCTGCCAAATGTTGGCATTGACTATTTTCCTCTACATGGCACCTTGTAAGTACCCAGTCCTACTGCTGCAACTACAGTTCTCTTTTAATTTTAGTAGCTACTTCCTCTCCCTTGTCTCTTTGGCCTAGAGTTAGTAACAGCTCCCACTGTTCTGATTAGTACTGTTAATCAAGTACTATATGCCAGACACTGGCCTAAGTGTCTAAATATATTATCTCATTTAGGTCTCACAGCCCCCATAATTAGACGGATTTCTTACTACTATAGATAGAGGAGAAAGTGACACGGTTACACTGATAGAGCTGGGAATTGAATCTCAGTATTTATAAGCATCTGTGTACTCAACCACTATCTGCTGACTCCATACGTAACTTCTCACTTCATGGACCAGTCCCTGATCTCCCTTAAAACAGTCTATTAATCGCTTTGCTCCTGGCAGCATACCTGCTACCACAATTAGAAAGGAGAATGCTGTTGCAATTTCTCCATTCAGCCATTCAACAAAAATTGGAATATGGAATGCAGGGTCCCGTTCACCGAGGGCTGGGGCTGAGAGCATCAGGGCAAGCCTACGTGGTCAGTGCGGTGCTCAGTCACGTGCTGAGCCTGAAAAGAAGTTAGAAATCTTTTCCACTGACACGATGGTCAGCCACATGGAGGTCGGAACCTCCCCTATGGATCTCCTCAAGGCCAGAGACTGGCTATTCTCCCAAGCCATTTGGTGACAAAAGACAGAATGCAACAGTTCCTCAAGGATTCTCTCAATGAGGTTGGGAAGGAGTCTTGGTTTACTCAAGATACAAGTTGCTGACAGGAGTGAAAAGCAATGGACATCCTGTTTCCAGGGTCTATTCAAAAAAGAATTAGTAATTCTGGTCAAGTCTGTTCTCTGCGTCCTGTCTTACCTTTTTGCCACTCTACTGGTGGCAGTTTTACAGCATAGGAGACAGAGACGTTTAGTTGAGCTCTCCATTCTGCTTCCTCTGCCTCTCCTCAAAATCACAGCCCTGAGTCTTTGCAGTTTCGAATTTCCTACTTTGATCAGCGCCCCACTAGGGGGAATACCTAAGTTACAGTAACTGGGTTCAGAGTGAGGCCCCTCCTACCAGGGCGCCTGGACCAGGACACGCCAGGCTTCCGTTGGCTGTTGGGAATTCGAACGGAGCCTTTAAGACAGCTGACAGCCACGCTGATTGGCTGAGGACCGTAACAACTGTCATGGCTAGCCAATCCCGAGGCCCTGAGGGGAAGCCGGTGTCTGCGGTGATCCCTGGGAGCCCAGGCCTCCAGGCCCGGGCAGCAATCACTAAATTCCCGCGTCCTTTTCGCGCTGCTAGGTGAGTGCGGGTGGCGGGCGTGGGGGACGGAAGGTCTGCACCGCTCACGCCGGCGCGAGTCCGCGACCCGGGCTCTGGAGGGCCCGCTCCAATGGTCTCTGGTGCTGGTAGGCGTTGTCAAGCTCGTTTCAGAGCCCATGCTGTCCACAGGAACTCGTGGTCTCTGTCATTATTGTGGAGTGGGAAAAGTTGGCCCCTCAAAACTCAGCGCCCCACTAGGGGGAATACCTAAATTACAGTAACTGGGTCCAGAGTGAGGCAGTGGAGATGCTGGTGGAAAATCTCCCAGAAGCCTGTGCAGGGAGGAAATAGCCTCAAAGGTTTGTTGGACAGGACCGTGATTAGGCAATCAGAAATGAGTTCAGGTAATGTGTTATTTGATAGGGAAATAAAATACCGCAGGACTTTGGATGACAAAACTCATGAACTTTTTCAATCTCATCTCACCCTCTTCTCCTTCCCTCCCTCTCTCTCCCTCCCACTTCCCCTCACCACCAACCAGAGGTGTCTAGAATATGTAGGACCAACTCTTCTGAGAAATACACCTCCCATAGCAATCTATAATAAAGCTGAGGAGAGCTGCAGCATTCCACACCTCTTCCACGGTCTCACAAGCAATCGAAGGACAAATGAAGGCAGAACACACGCCAATCAGCATTCTCAGCCCTCTGAGACACACTGAGGACTTAAATTGTGTAGATGCCACATTTGTTATCCATGATATGAAATGTGTTGGATTTTTGACAGGCTTACCTTATACAAATGAGTGAAATCAGTTATTCCTATTACAAAGTCACTCTCGCTCATTTTCCTATAAATATTTTGTGCATGTAAGAAAGCAAGTTGAAAGAGTTCTGAACACCCTAAGGAATAATCCCAGGTTTTGGAAAGTGGCTTTGTTAGTGTTAGGGAAGGAGAAGAGGCTGAAAACCCTGAACTCCATCAAGGGTAAAGTTTATAAGGTGTGGTGTACTCGTTTTCAGGTGAGGTCTCCCACAGGGAAGTTTTTCCTGCTTGACTTCGACCTTTAACCCTTCTACCAGCGAGCGTCTCCTAACCCACCCAAAACTACAGTTCCAGATAGCAAGGTCCAGAAAAAAGGTAAGTGCCTAAATTCTAACTTTCCAGTGTTTCTCATCTGTAGATAATTGACATAGGGACTATCATTCACTTGAGGATATCCCACCACTTGACAAGTAGGAGCCTCGAAGGGACACAGATCTTTGATGTATACGGTGTGTTCTTGGAGACAAGAGGACAGTTTTTCCCCTTTATAAACATTTGTAGCCGATGTAAAGAATTCATTCATACATGCTTATATGTAAAAGACAATCAAGGAATAGCAAGTTACCTGAGCTAAACTTTTTCTTGTACTGTATCACTCTTGTTCTGTGCAAACATCTGTGAAGTTCGTCAAGATGGATAATATGTCCCTCCTGCCTTCAGGCAAGTTCTGGGCTGCTGTTGAAGAGAATTCACATGGAGCTGTCAAAACTTGGAGAAAGGAGGGAACTGCTAGATCTTCTACACTCAGTGGTGGGACACACTGTCTCTGTCTCTGGTCACAGAGTTCTCAAGTGGGGCAGAGGAAGAGGGGGAAGGAGAGCTCATGATCATTTAGGCCTATTCAGGGCTGTACTTTAGGGCTGTACTTCACCTCCTCGTAAGCAGTCTGACCTCCTGAGCTTTGAAGCTGACTCTGATGCGGAAGCCCCTGTAATTCCAGGATTTGTCTTTGGCTGGAATATAGGGAAGCTGCTTGCAGCTCCCACACCTCTGATTAGCTGGAACTCAGGATTTCCTGAGAAAGGATATAGGTAATAGGAGCTGCCTGTGCTTCCCGCAGAACACTTGTCCTGCCTATAAGACATTAAGGCTAGCCACTCTAAAGTGATGTTCTATTCAACAGCTGACTAAAGAGAAAGGTATCAGCAAAGTTGTTGAGGGAGGCAGAGAGAAGTTGAAACTTTCCTCTGTTTTGCAGTCGTCTGAAAGTAAAGTCAAGAACTAAATGTTTTCTGTACCAACCCAATTAGATAGAATAGGAAGTTCTGGCCCACCCACTTAAGTACTTCCTAAGTAAGATGATAAGATAGACAATGCAGAGGGCCCATAACTTCCAGAATGGTTCAACTTATATGTTTTGGCTTTATGATGGTGCAAATGCAATATGTATTCAATAGAAACCATAGTTTGAATTTTTACCTTTTCCTGGGCTAGCCATACAGAACAACTGTTCCATTCTCACTTTCAGACAGTATTCAATAAATTACATGAGATGTTTGACGCTTTATCATGAAAGGGGATTTGAGTGAGATGAGTATTTCCAAGTGTAGGCTAAATGTTCTGAGTACGCTGACAGGAAACTAAGCTGTGATGTTCAGTGAGCTAAGTGTATACAGGCATTTTTCAGCTTAACACTACTTCCAACATAGGGTGAGTTTATTAGAATGTAACCTTGTAAGTAGAGAAGCAAGGATACAATGCAGCCATTTTTAAAAGTACATTTCCAAAGACACTGAAGTATCCTTATGCCTTCTCCACTTCAAGAATTTAGCAGGTGAAGCTGGAAGAGGATAGCTTAGGAATGTCAGCAGTGAGCAGATAGAAATCAGTGTTGTGTAGAAAAGGGGTGGAGTCACAATATGATTGTGGAAAAAAGACTCAAATACTGAGCTCAAGACACCTAAATCTTCTAAAACACAAATGCAAGGAGCACATCTCTTCTCAAGATGCGCAAGATGTCTTCTAAATCTCCTCCCCAGACACAAGGTTTTATTGTCTACCCATATAGAGGGAGAGGAAAGACGGTATCCATACTGTCCTCAAGCTTTATAGTAGGAAGACAATTGAGGAAGCATGGAAGCATACACTGATAAGATAGGGAGATCATGTAGTTCAATCGGCTGGCCTTAGCTGAGGAAATCATAGCCAGGCCAGTTAAGTATGCCTCAGTTATGACAGCTAGTTAGAATCCACACTGCATTTCTACATCAGAAAAAAATTTTTTTCTAAGATACATGCAATATGTTGTTTTAAATCTCCTTGCTTTTTTATATATTAGGTCAAGATGGGGTTTATGTTTTCAAAATCTATGAGTGAAAACATGAAAAATCAACAGGAATTCATGCTTATGAATGCTCGACTCCAGGTATGTTTGAAAATAATTAAGCTCTTATGTTGTTGCCATGGTTAAAGTTTTGTCACTTTTTTTTTTTTAGCAGCATGTTGTCTCATACACGCCATGTCTACTCTCCTCAAATGCTTTTGGGGCTTCACCCTCAAAGACTAGATGAAATCAATTGCTAATTATCTGGTGAATGGCCTTGTTTGAATATCCAGTGCAGAAACTTGTATCAAAATTTCCGTACTTAAAGAGATAACTGTTTAGAATGTATTGTAGATAGAATTATGTCCAGCAAGATAGGAAGACACGTCTTAATTCCCAGGACCTGTGAATATGTTCATAGCATGTTACCTTACATGGAAAAAGGGACAGGGACTTTACAATGTGATCATTTAAGAGGTTTCAGATGGGGAGATTATCCTGGATTATCCAGATGAATGAATTGCGATTATAAGAGGTCTTTATATGGTAAAGAGGAGACTAAGGTGAGGGCAAAGAGGGGGGCATGGTGAGAGGGAGGGAGGGAGAGAGACAGAGAGAAATTAATTGATAGATTTGAAGGTGCTACACTTCCGGCTTGAAGACAGTCAGTCAGGACCATAAGCAAAGGAATCTAGGCACCCTTCAGAAGCTAGAAAAGGCAAGGGAACAGATTCTCTTCTGTAGCCTCCAGAGGGACACAGTCCTGCCAGTCCATTTTAGACATTAACTGCAGAACTAGGGCCGGGGATATAGCTCAGCAGCGTAAGCATTTGCCTGGCAAACCTGAGGTCATGAGTTTGATTCCTGGTACCAAAAAAACAAACAAAACAAAACAAAACAAAAAGCCCAACTAACTGTGGAACTATAAGATAGTATATTTGTGTTATTTTAAATCATTAAAGTCTTTATAATTTATTACATCAGCAATAGGAAACTAATAGAGATTGTGAAAACTGACATTGGATGGATATAAAAGATAAGAGCATGGTAAACTGTCAAAATGCCCAATACTAGTCAAAAACAGTTTGTTAAAACATTGCAAGTCAAAATTAAGTGCTAAAAATTTGACTCAGGTTATTGTCCTAAGATTTCAGATGAAGATCTTTAGGTTTCTGTGGCCCATTGTATCCCTGGAAGTAGAATCCCTGCTACTGTCGGGCAGTGTAGCTCACATTTTAAAATGACTAATGCCAAGACCCCTGAATTGAATCCCAATTCTGCTCCTGACTAATTGCATGATCTGTTCTTCAGTCTCCTGATCTGAGCACTAGAGGTGATAGAATACACTTCAGAAAATATATATTACAGAGAAAAGTTAATACATATTATTATTATTATTATAACAATGACTTCAGTTTTTAGAAAAATGCCTCAGTCTCTGTTAGATGTTGCTTTTATTACTGCTGTTAATCGCTAACAAGAATCTCCTCTGAAGTGTCAAGGTTCCTTTTGGAATAGTGGAACAACTGAAAAGATGGACAACTTAATTATTATAACAGAGCAAAGTGATTTATGGGAGACCAAATATTAGGTGTAGGAATCAGCCATGCATGTCTGATTCTTAGAGCATCCTTGTCAAAGGCCTTTAGAAATTATAGTCCTCATGATGGCAGGGTTTTTGAAGAGTTGGCGATTTTACTCTACTTGCAAGCTAACAAGTTAGTCTGTTACAGAGGACCAGAGGTGCCTAAATCAGAGACACAGGACGTTAGTGCAGAACAGCAAGCAGCATGGTGCTATTTTCCATGCTCCCAAGACCTATAGAGGTGGTAGAGATGGGCATGGACTTAAATGGAATCTGTGCACTAAATGGATTTGTGTCACACTGAGGGGACACTACACTTCAAAAATCTACTGCTTTTATAGTGAGGCAGGGGCGAAGAAGGAAGGAGGGGAAGGAGAGAAGGATCTGTGTTACTTCATTCCTTCAGGTTGTTCATGGAAGCACAAGTTAAGAATGGCCCATGTAAGGGGCAGTTGGGTCAGGCTTTCCTGACCTACCCCAAAAAATCATGCAAGGACTTTCAGGCTCATGGTAATAACCTGATTGACCATAGGTCTGAGAAAAGTTTTGAATTTTGTCTATTGATTCTAGAAGCCAGATTTTACATAGCTGTAGTGGCCATCAGTTTTCATCTTATCTGAACCAAAGTGAACCAGGCCCAGGCATTTAGGGGACTATCTGTGAATCCAGGGTGCTACTGAGCCAGTAGCCTTGTTCCAGTTGGCAGAGTGGAGGAAAAGTTTGCCCCATAGGGGTGGGTACTACTCCTTTATGCAGAAACTAAAATGATACTCAGGCACACTTCAATTTTACCAGCAGATTGGCTCTTCCCTTGTAGTTGGTATGTCCTAGTTGTTGCACAACACAATAAAATGTCCAGCCTGGGAATCATAAGGCCTCCATGGGGCAGGTCTTTATCTGTAGCAAGAGCTCAGCAGCATGTCAATGACTGCTTCCCCTTTTTGAAAGGGATATGTTGTGTGTTGAATTCTATCTCCTCAAAATTCACATGTTGAAATCCTAGGCCCTACTTGCAAGCTAACAAGAATGTAACCTTATTTGGAGATAGGGTCTTTACAGAGGTAACCAAATTAAATGAGTCACTAGGGTGGACCCTAAAGTGACATCAATGGTGGCCTCCTAAGAGGAAATTCGGACACAGAGACATGGATATGGAGAGAATGCCCTCAGGATGTGGAGGCAGTCATCTACAAGCCAAGAGAAGAGGTCTGGAACGGAGATTTCCCTCAGAACCTTGCAAGGAACCAACCTTGATTTTGGCTTTCTAGCCTCCAGGGCAGAGACAGTAAAGTTACACTGCTTAAATGAGCCAGTTTGTGGTCCCTTGTTTTGACGGTCCTAGCAAACACGCAGGGAGAGTTGGGTGCCCATGTCCAGCAGGTGGTGTTACAGTACTGAGCAAACAGCCTTCCAGAAGTTCAGCAGCAGTTTTCCCTTTTCTCTCTGGGACGTTATAGTGTTTCTGTAAGACCAGTGGGAGAGGGCCAAGGAAGTCATGAGTGGGAAAGATCCTTTGGTCACTTTGAGTTTTACAAGTATGCAACCCATAAATTTCATTATACGTTTATATGCAGAAAGTGGGATGGGGCGTGTGTGGACATACCTAACAATATCTTCAAGTGCTTCAAAGCCCCTCTAATTTCCCTTCCTCACGGAGAACTTTACTGAAACACTCTCATTTGATGCAGGTGCCTTTGGCTGTTGTTACTCTCGTTCGGAACACCCAGCAGTGTTTCACATAGGTTCTTTAGGGATTGTTATTGTTTTAGGGGATAACAGTCTCCCAGCTGGAGAAAGAATACAGAAGGTCAGGGAGGACTTTTTGTCCTTTGATTCCTTATCCAAGAATGACAGTGCTTCCTCCTCATGTGCCCCTAGCCTCTGGAGAGCATTGCTACTCAGGAGAATCATTCATTTCACCTTCACTAGTGCCACGTACTGCTCTGCAGTCCTTGGTAACCTGGGTCACTTTGGTGCTTAGGACATCCTCGCTCCATGGGACCAAATAGACTTGGGCACCTGCATCCAGCAGAACCATAAAAGATTGAGTTCTTCTCCAAACGTCCCCAGGGCACCCACATTTCCTCTCAAAATAGTCTGAAGTGGGGAGGAGGGAGGGAGAGGGCTCTAAGGGCAAGAAGGAAAAGCATCTTGTTGTCAGTAAACCAGGCTTGGTATTTATTTTCGGTTTAAAATGGCCTCCTGCCACTGAACCCAACAGATAATTTTCTAATGCTTTCAGTCTACCCCCAATTTTTTTTATCTTCATTGCTGACATCATTTATTTCTGCTTTAGGGACTCACTGACTCTCAGCAGCTACAGTCACATTGCATTGCCTTTGACTAAAACGTGGGGCTTGCTGTGCTATTGTTGTGATAACATTCTTCCTTTCTCCCACCCTGGAGAACATGCTATCACCAAAGCAGCATTTGGGCAACTTGTTTCAACCCTGTCTTTTGTTGTTGAAGTTCACTTAATACATAGGACAGTGAGGGACCTCACTTCATCCTCCCACCCTCACCACCTTCTACCTGACAGCAGTTACTTCTTGATTCCAGGGTTTTCTCTTATCCTGTAACCCAGCTGAGGGCCCATGTCTTTTCTTTTCCAGAAAGCCATGTCTCTAACATGATTTCACCCTTGTGACCCAAACTGTCAGGCCTTGTGAAACAGCTGGACCATTACTGTACTGGTAAATAACAGGTTAGCTTGTTACTGTTTCACAGATTCTGGCGGAAGACTGTTACCCACAGCAGAGCAATCAGCATGTGCATGCAGTGATGTTGGCAACAGTTTTCCGCGTACTCCATGTCCCACAGCAGGAGGTAGATGAGCCTCTGTTGGATGCTGAAATGGATGCAGTGGGTTTATGACATAGCTGAGAAACACTGAGCTCATAGAACTACTAATTTTATTGTGCAGGGAGAGCAAACCTGCTCTTTGCCTAGAAGGAGATGCGATCTCAAGGTTTTTGAACACAATTCTGCCCATGTGTCACTGATTTTGTGGGCTCGTGTACTCTCCATGAGAAGAATCAGACACAGGAACAATAATGCAGGAAGAAGCCTTTTTTATTCTCATGCTCAAGTGTCAGGGAAAACATTCTTAGTACAAGGGAAAAAGAAATCCCAGGCCAACTCAAACAGAAGGACAAGAAAGGATACTTTTATAGTGCTTCTCGGGTCATCATGGACCTAGCCTTTTGATGTCATTGCAAGGAGGGATGGAATTCCAGTTGCACTTCATTATGCCAGGCATGCCTCTACCATCTTCACAAAAGGGTAGGCATTTTACTACGATAAAGAAGCAAAAGTAATTATAAGTTACTTTAGTGACTATTCTACGAAGTGTTTTTGCCCCTCGCCATTGGGGGGAAACCCCTAGCATTGTTCTAAAGTAAGGCAAGTTGTTCTTCTGTCTTGGTGGGTCTGATTGATAGCTAAGTTAACTGCTTTATTTTTCTTAGTCTCAGCTTCCTGGTATGCCAGCTGACCTTGTAACCGCTGAACATTAATC